GCCACGCCACCCACTATGTACCTCCTCTGCATTCTGGTCTGAATTTCCGAACCTCACCTAGGATAGAACTCGCGAAGGGTATTAGGGGTTACAGTGAACAAAACTGTAAACAGCTCGCGGCTCAGACCTAGAATTTCCGGCCGGTGGAGTCGACTTTACCTCAACCGGTGCCGCGGTAGGCATAGCCACAGCCGGCAGGCTGCCAACCAATGCGCAGTATTTTTTCCAAATGCCAACTTATATACCTTGGATGGCAATAAAAATCTAAATCGAAATAGATTTCGCAACACACATTACCTTAACACATAAATAAAACAAATAAAAAAATTATAACATATTGAATTTACGCAATACATTTGAAACGTTCGCGGTAAAACATTATTCGCATCGCGGAAACGAGTCGTGGTAAGAAAAAATAACTTTGTTACTTAGAAAACATCCAATTTTCTTGGGAACACAACTTGGACCTCAGTCAAAAAACTCTTACGGAGGCAATAAAGAGATTTTTGAGACGAATTAAGTTAATCGCTTCAGAACGACGATAAAATAATATTGAAACGTTTTCTTGTGAAGAACGGGATCCTCTTTGAACGTATTTTATGAGGAATAAAACTCACAGACTTCATTACGCTTTTAATTAGTATTGTGAATGAATCTTTTGCTGTGATCTTTCGTATCACCTTAAAAATAATTAGTTTTCTTTTGAATCCAGCATCTAATTAGATCGAAATTCAAACTGGCATGCACTAAAAATATAAGCAGTAAATAAACGGAAAAAAAGAATATTGCCCGTGTTGGCAGACAAGCATACGGCCCACCTGATGGTGAGTGGTTACTGTCGCCCATGGACTTCAGCAATGCCAGGGGCAGAGCCAAGCCGCTGCATACCGATAAGTACTCTCCACAAGTCTCATTTGAAGAAAGATATGTCATAGCGCTCAGGAAACACAGTGTAGGGGAGCTCATTCCATAGCCGGATGGTACGTGGCAAAAAAGATCTCTGGAAGCGCACTGTGGGTGAACGCAGTGGCTCCAGGTAGAATGGATGAACTCTACTCCGGTGGCGGGCGGTGCGATGATAAAAATGAGATGATGCTATCATCTCAAACAATTCTTCAGAGTACTCCCCATGGAACATACGGTACAAAAAACATAGGGAACCGAAGTCCCTCCGCAGACCCAAAGGTTCCAAACGATCCGTGAGAATGGGATTATCGACAATCCGATACTGACTTAGCTTGATAGCTACGTACTGACACATTAAATTGTGTTCAATATTTTAGATTAATATCTCCACACAGACTAGATTTAAATGGAATCACTAAGTTCATCGCCAGTACGTTTCCATAGATCAGTTTTGCCACGTATCGTCTGACCTTTGAATTAACTTATCCCCACAGTGTTTTGAAATGAAATTTGACCTCTTTAACGATAGACACGTCTGGATATCTTTGCATTGCTAATAACCATGAACAACAGTGACCACTCACTCATAAGTGAGACATATCCTGTTCTGCGTTCTAAAATACATTCATATCTGATCATGATACAGACCATCCGTCTATACCATCTATACAATCACACATGTGTAATTGATATAAATATTCCTATTGTCAACATTTGATTTCCGTGAGAGCTTTTGTATAAATTCTATGGATCAAATATGCTATTTCAGAAAATGGTCCATGCAGCTTTTATTTTGATTACATTATCCCTGGCATCTATTGAGGCCCATGAAATTGGCAAATCAATGAACCACGTGCCATCAATTTCGAGATCAGTAGTGAACTTAGGAAAAATGGATATATCCATTCATTTTAACGGGATTCCAGGTAAGATTTAGTCTAACTGAGGGTAAGATTTANGATCAAATATGCTATTTCAGAAAATGGTCCATGCAGCTTTTATTTTGATTACATTATCCCTGGCATCTATTGAGGCCCATGAAATTGGCAAATCAATGAACCACGTGCCATCAATTTCGAGATCAGTAGTGAACTTAGGAAAAATGGATATATCCATTCATTTTAACGGGATTCCAGGTAAGATTTAGTCTAACTGAGGGTAAGATTTAAAGATATAACTACGCCTACGTCGTAAAAGTAGTTATTTTAAATGAATTCTCCATAGCTCAACTTATACGTGAATATAGCTAAAGCAGTATTTTCTAAGATTTATACTATAAAATATTGTCCTTTTAGTTTTGTTGGTTCTTGGAGATTAAATAAGATCACGTCTACTTGACGTTCAGTGGTAACAAAGGTCTGTACTACCATCCAATTCGCAACTCAATTATATAACAACTATTCGGTCTTCAAGCTAGATCTCACGAATTCATCGCTCTAAAAATAAATATGAAATTTTTCACTATCGAAAATTCTAAATGCCTAATAATAACTTCCTTATCTCATTAATTTTGTTACTTTCTACCTACAGATAATCCAAAACAAGCAGGAGACCTTTTTCCAGTCTCTAATAGTGTTAATGTTCCGAAATCAGAATCTACCGAAGGTTGTTCTTGCTCAAAATATCATGAAAATAAAGAAACTTTGATGCCTAATCCGTTGGATGTCGTTAGTAAAATTTTAAGGAATGATGACCTCTTTCTTAATAAAAACATGATTACTTCTCCACAATGTTGTGACACCCATGGCCATGAAGAAACAATATACTTCGAGTTCACCCCAAATCGTATCAATATCAATCCTCTGAACAATATGAACACAGAGATATACCCACCGTTATTATTTGACAGCATTGTGCCGAAAAGAACCTCAACTATTCGACCAAAAGCAGTAGATATATTTCTTTTCCCCAAAAGAAAAGATATGGTTACGGTTGATTACCCAAAAGATAAGCCAAAGAAGACCCTCCCTAATCCTGATATACAGATAGTTGGCGATAAAACTATAAAGAGTGACTTCAAATTAGCCTTTCCATCTTCTTCGGTGAAAAAAGATTTGGGTGTAAAACCTGTTAAAGAAGGATTGAAAGAAGAAATACAAAAGATTAGAGAAGAAGGTAACGTGAAAGCGAATGTTGTCTAACCATTTCTTGACAAAAAAACACGAAATTTTACGTGTGATATAAAATGTGAATTTTAGTAATTTTCAAATTAAAACAAAAACTGGAGATTACATCTTTTCTTTTTGCCTGAATAATTGAGGTTCATCGTTTTTTTCTTTCTTCGGTCCGTATCCTATGTAATAAAGTGAGCATAAACTGCTTCCATTTTCTCCTTTTGCTTCTACCCTCTTACCTATCTTTATTCATGCTCAACACTTTTTTAGTTACACGTTTCTCGTATTTCATAGTTTAACATATGGCAATTAGTACGACATAGTAATTTGTTATTGCACTAGATATCACAACGTTAATACTTCCATATACACATAGATACCTTAGGTCTAACTCTCGACTGTATTGTGTAACGGTTGACCCGTGCGACTGATTGTCAGCAGAAACCAAAACCCTACTAATTTAATTCCCAATTTAAAAAAAATTGCTTATTGTAGTTAAAACAACCAATTCACGAATAAAAACAACTCAAAAAGGTATAAACGCTTAAAATTAAAACACGTACGCATCACAGCACAATGAAATAATACAATTCTGATCATTTTCAACGATTGATTTTTTATTTTTGTTCAACAAACATTGCTCGTTAACCTTTGTATTCGAAGCGTCAGTCGACTGTGAACTTTACAATATGTTTGGAACCTGGTAATATTGTCGAGATCGTGAGCTCCGTAAACGAAGTGCGTGATTCGAATACTAAAAGTGTATCTACCCTCATTTACATTTCTACAAGCAAAGGAAATTATACAACGCTTAATGAGGCCCTGCCGCTTGATTGAGGTGGACGACTTCTGATTAATTTGACCTTTTTGGAGGAATACTCGTTAATTTTTTGGGTACTTTCATGACTGAATATTCTAGTGTTTCTCGCCGTGAGTGCTTAATTACAAGCCAGAACATGAGGGTATTCACTTAGTTTTCACTCAAGCCGTATGCTCGTATGCTTACAATAGCTAAGCCGCTGCCTGCGATTAAGTCCCCTCCGCAAACTTCTTTTGAAAAACATATGTGAACATTTGAAGAAGGGCATGATAGCGCAAGGAAACGCCGTACAGTTCATTCTAGATCCAGATGGTGAAAATGAACTCCGGAAACGAGTATATCTCCACCACGCTCTAGGTATTACGGAAGAAGGCTTCTCCCGTGGCAGACGGTACAATATTTAAAAATAATATGACGGGATCGTCTCAAACAATTCCTCACACCACTCTCCATGGAACATATAGTAGAAAACACAGAGAAATTTTTACTGGTGGTAGGACCTCTTGTAAGTCCGCGCGGGCAGTTACTACCACCGTGCCCATTTCTGCTGTGAAGCAGTAATGCGTTTCGGTTTGAAGGGTGGGGCAGCCGCTGTAACTATACTTGAGACCTTAGAACTAACACCTCAAGGTGGGTGGCGCATTTACGTTATAGATGTCTATAGGCTCCAGTAACCACTTAACACCAGGTGGACTGTGAGCTTGCCCACCCATTTAAGCAATAAAAAAAACGAAATCCCTCCGTATGATTCTTCTCCTTTGCCAATTAAGTGCTCTCGTAAGTCAATTAAGTGCAAAAAAAAGGATTGTTGGTGTAGTGTAAAAAAAAAGGATTGTGGTGGTGTATTGGTTGTGTAAAAGTGAAACTTTTTGCACATTATAGATATATAACTCTGACAAACAACATTTACATTAAACACTGACAAAAACAAACAAAATAGCGTGGAGCACTGGCACAAATGAGTAATAGTCTATACACTACACGGTCAGCTGCTGTGAACTATAGGCGCCGCCATATTGGCCTTGGCTGCTCTGACGAGCGCCTTCACTTTATCCCTACTCCGCGGCCGACCATCACGCGACATGCAACACACAGACGAAAAAGTTTGAGACGATGTAATAATAAAAGTTTCACTTTAATAATTCAGCATGAATACTCACTGTTTATCTTTCCTTTGCTGTCGCTTCTTTTTGAACGCTCTTTTAACTCTTAACAAAAGGAAAGCGGCTCTGTCAATGGTAAGCACGGATGGCCGCTTGGCAGCGTTAGGTTCGTCCATCCCCTCCTCCTCGGACGGTTCATCGCACAACCTCAGGCCAAGCCATCGCGGTTTCGCGCCAGTCCTCGTTTTGACGTTGTCAGATGCACTCCAAGAAAGAAGATTATATTCAAAGGTTTATTATACCATGCACATAATTCACTTCACTTTACTATTATCTTTTTAATTAAAACAATAAACTGTTCACACTGATTATATATTTTAACGACCGAAAATGATTTTTATTTAATATTCACTTCAACTAAAACGCCATCTGTAACAAAGAAAACGTTTTTACGTTATTATTTTGTAAATGTATTAAGGATAGTAAGTAACAATAACTATAAAATTATCGCTAAACATTAATTATGCCATAATTATCCGAAACATAATACGATCCAAAATTAAATGTATAGGCTGCAAACCAAACTATTCAAAATCATTTTGTGGTATACCGCTTGAGTGCATATCATCAAACCTGGCTATTGCTACTACGAATTAGTTATTAGTTTCGATTTGAAAGCTTTATGGGTACAATACAATTGATACAGCAACCTTATGTTCCAAGGTAGGTGGCCGCATTTGTCTTGTTATCAATAGTAACTGTAGTATGTAGTACATTGATCCGTACGGAAATAAATACACAAGTAAAACCCATAAAGCCCAAGCAATGAATGATTGTAAATGGCAGAAGAAGACCGGGCCCAGTAGTGTAGGTTGGAAGAGAACTATGTCCAACAGACGATAATAAGCTATGATGATGCTACATAAAAGTTATATTAATTTTCAAATTTTAAATACAGTTTCATGATTGAGAACTGTTTGCTCGAACAGGTTGTTATTACTGGTGGTAGGACCTCTTGTGAGTCCGCGCGGGTAGGTACCACCGCCCTGCCTATTTCTGCCGTGAAGCAGTAATGCGTTTCGGCTTGAAGGGTGGGGCAGGCGTTGTAACTATACTGAGATCTTAGAACTTATATCTCAAGATGGGTGGCGCATTTACGTTGTAGATGTCTATGGGCTCCAGTAACCACTTAACATCATGTGGGCTGTGAGCTCGTCCACCCATCTAAGCAATAAAAATAATAAAAACAGCAAGTATAGAACACAAACAACAAAGGCAAAAGTACTGACAGTTAAATCTCAACAACATTGGTTTTGAATGCCGACTTTGCTTCTACTGAAATATTGTAATATGCGACTTCAAAAAACAATTCGCGAAACTTATTAAGTCTAGACGGTACGTAAACAATTTCACTATCTCACTAAGCGCGCACGAATAGGTGAGCTTTTATTCCAATTCACATTTCGTATTTGATAGCATCAGAAATTTGATATCAAACGGTGAATAACTTTACCTGTTCTGTAATATTTATAATTATTCAAGGGAACTGACACACAGCGAATTCTAGTTTGGAGCTGGTCACGTAACTCCAAGAAACCGATTTACATATAAAAATAAACATAATCATATTTAGATATTAAACACCCAGAATTTACAAAGAAACCTGTTCCTTGTATGACCTATAGGTATTATAGATATTTCTGTATGTTTAAGCCTATTTATGTTTACCTCAAGAGTTCTTAGAGTAGTAGTAGTTTGGAGGCTGGCAGATACCTCTAAGTGCTTAGTTTTTTGAACCTTTTTTTCGTCACTAATGTCGATTGGCTAGCATTAAGTCTAAGCTTTTAAGTTTAGGCTTGACAGTATTCACGTCAGATTTAAAATTCCAATTCGAAATCTCAGTTTTATTAAAATTACCACAGAAAAGAATAAACTACAAAATATGACATTTGCTGACTTCTTCCGTGTCAACGTTGGCAACATCTTGATGAATTCTGGTAACGTTCATATCGAGTAGGCCGTGACATAGTCTTACATTCCAGAGCAATAAAAATGTAAAATCCTATGTCCAAATTCGAGAAAGATAAATCAATTAAAAACAATGGAAGTTCATTGAACACCATCCACATTTGTGAACCCATATTATTAATAAGGTAAATTTTCTACTGACTTATCAAGGCTTTTTAGCGCTCTTTAATAAATTTCCTTTACGCTTTTGATCTTGTGTAGATGGGATAATCCGATGGTCCATTAAGAATGAAACCCAAAAAAAATCCATATTTNTTCGAGAAAGATAAATCAATTAAAAACAATGGAAGTTCATTGAACACCATCCACATTTGTGAACCCATATTATTAATAAGGTAAATTTTCTACTGACTTATCAAGGCTTTTTAGCGCTCTTTAATAAATTTCCTTTACGCTTTTGATCTTGTGTAGATGGGATAATCCGATGGTCCATTAAGAATGAAACCCAAAAAAATCCATATTTATATATCATTTTCTTCGAATTTACCTACTTTCAATAAATGATCTTTCAAGAAATCGATGTTCGCAAAATTGTGGCTTCCTTATCATAGTTTATTGCTGTCGAAATCAAATGAATCTACTGTTCATCTTATGTTAAGCGCTTACCGTCTTTCAAGGAAGATTAAAGGAGCTACAACTATCTTCTTTTGATACCTAAACTGAAAAGAATGAAGATTTCTGAATGGAAATGGATGATGCGTTGGAAAAATGATATATGGAGACGAATAAGCGCAATGGTATATTTAGTGAGTAGATATGAACTTCAGTATCAGATTGAAGTTGTCGGGGCCTAGAAGATAATAAGCCCGGTGTGCTCCTATGTGCTGCGACTATTCAAAGCTGGGGTTCAAATACTCCAGAGACTAATCAAATTTTCTAGGGAAATTTGTACCTACTTGAGACGCGTTCTTGAACTACAACATCCAAACTGATAAATTTTCAAGACGGCACTTGAATTAAGCTTATCGGTATGCGTCATTAAAAGCTTTTCATTTTAAAACCGAAGTTCATATTGACGGAACACTCTCATACGAGTACAGCAAAATAAAGTCCCCGGATATATAATGTAATTTTGAAAATAACGAAAGACAACAGACATGCCGAGTGTAGCGCAAACAATTCCGGTCCGACCTTGGACCCTTCCCGTATTATCCTGGGATACATTTTAAAGTACAATGTGATACAAAAAATTTAATTTAATTTTAGGTTCCGTATAAATCGGTTTCTTGGTTACGAGATGATTTAAAATGTGTCCGCCGAGATGACATAGCAATTCTTAATAGCATTAAAGTAATCAACATGTACTGATCACGTCTATTTAACTAGAACAAAAACAAGTGCGTAATAATGTAATCAGTAGTTATATTTTCCTACCTATGCTGATAGCCTCTCAATACTATCAGCATAGGCAGGAAAAATTGGAATAGGTAGCCTTGAGAGGATATTTCAGCGTTACCCTAGCGTGTAGGTAAGCTCTCGGGGCTCAAACTGGAGATATTGCAAACAATGGCCCTAGCCAGAGCAGTGCTTCGCAGAATCTACCACCGGATCGGAAACGCGACCCACTGAGAGAATCCGGCGAGAAACTCAGTGGGCTGTGACTGTAGGTTAATTTACACGCCGAACCCTTCGTCGCAAGCGGCGGGTTCGACGAGGACGATGACCGGTCCGTAGTAGTGGGTAGTCCAAGCTAGGTACTAACTTTCTACCAATATCTGCCGCATAAAAATGAGGCATTGCTACTTGAAGAGTCAATTTAAGGAAATCTTTGCCCGAAACCTGTTTTCGGTAATGATGGGTGGGCTCTCTATGAATAAACAGGGAACAGGAAATTTAGCTTAAGGCCAATAAACAAATTAACTAAAGGTTATACGATATTTTAGAGTAATCGTTACTACAGTACGATATTTTACAGTAACCCTTACTACAAGCAAGTTTATTAGGAGGTTATTTATATCATTCGTACATCACGGAATCCTAAATTTGAATAAATGACCTGAACTTTACGACCGAACCTCGTTAAATGTATAAAAATGAGATGCATTACGTGTCGTGTTTATGAAAACACTCCTACATGAAATTTCCATTTCTTTTTTTTTACATTCCCTTTTCCACCTTCTTTTTGTGTTTTCACTTCTTTTTGTGGTTTTTTTTATCTGTCTCTTTTTTAATACGCTTTCATTAGCTTCAGACGTATGTATGTTAGTTAGTATGTAACGGAATCTTTGAACATAATTTTGCCCCCTCCAAAACGTCGAATTAACTCGAAATTTGGTATACTTATTAAGGACCGATGACAATTCAATATTTAAAAAAATAATAAAAAATATTAAAAAATTGAAATTCAACTAAAAAATAGAGGATAAATTTTAATAAATCTGAATTAAACATAGTGTGTTAATCTGAATTAAACATAAATGATTTTATTGTAAAAATAGCGTGGGATGAATGGTATCAGTAGTTATAAATATTTTATGAACAGATATGAGTAGAAGGGTTATTTTAAAATTTATTTTCTATTTTTTAGTTGGATTTTCTATAAAAGCGTATTTTCTTAGTTTTTTTAAACATTATTTTATTACAATTCGATTAGAACTATCCGGGCTATCTGGACTTCAAATAATTTTAATTTAACTTTATCGATTCATTAATTGTTGCATAGATAGACTGGTAAGATGTAAAGTGGAAAAGGTAAGGAGCATAAAGTCATTGAAATTTGAGACAAATGAGGCCTTAATTAGATCTAACAATGCCTGAATAGCTTAACTAAATGAAATAATTATATAAATTACTAGCGAACCGCCCTCGCTTCGCTTCGGAAACATTAAAACACACATGAAACCAAAAAATTAAAATAAAAAAAAATTAAAAAAAAGTAGCCTATGTTCATCAGGGACAATGTCGGCTTCTAATGGAAAAAGAATTTTTCAAATCGGTCCAGTAGTTTCGGAGCCTATTGGAAACAAACAAACAAACAAATCTTTCCTCTTTATAATATTATTATAGTATAGAAAATTTAACACTTACGCTAATAAACAATAGGTCACCGTCAGTTTTTTTTTTTTTTTTTTTGGTCAGGAGGAAATCGCCGGACTTCCGCCCTCCCCTGGGGATGAAGGGCGGGGCATGTCGGAGTCGAACTGACTAAAACCTCCTGTCGCTCAACAACCCGCGTCCGAACCTCGCATGAGACAGAACCCATGAAAAGGCAAAGGAGGGAAAGTGAAGCGTTTAGTGCGGAGCACATCTCTCCCATCACCCTCCCCCTCAGGACGCCGGACCGGTGGTCGTCGGCGCCACGACCACCAGCCCTCTCGGTCGG